CCCAGTCAAGTCTGTCCCGTATTCAGTAAGTGAAAATAAAATAAACAATAAAAGGTGAATCAAATGGACCATTACGGCAAGGCTGGGATGGTCAATTTGGTAAAGTAAATCCGTTGGGCATCTTTCTTTGCCTTTAGACAACAATTCTGATGCAAAAGAGCCAAACGGGACAGGCAAGCAAAAAAAAAAAAAAAGGAAAAAAAAAGAGAAAGAGTATTTAAGGGGGTCATTTATAAGTTTCCCTCATCTTTCAATTTTCTCTGAAGAGTAGCAACATGGGGGTCTCAAAACAACTCACAAATGACCTGAAGACAAAGATTGTTCACCATCATGGTTTAGGGGAAGGATACAGAAAGCTGCCTCAGAGATTTAAGCTGTCTGTCTCCACAGTTAGGAACATATTGAGACAATGGAAGACCACAGGCTCAGTTCAAATTAAGGCTCAAAGTGGCAGACCAAAAAAAATCTCGGATAGACAGAAGCAACGGTGAGAACAGTCAGAGTCGACCCACAGACCTGCACCAAAGACCTGCAACATCATCTTGCAGCAGATGGAGTCGCTGTGCATTGTTCAACCATTCGGCACACTTTACACAAGGAGATGCTGTATGTGAGACTGATGCAGAGGAAGCCTTTTCTCCGCCCAAAGCACAAACAGAGCCGCTTGAAGTTTGCTAAAGCACATTTGGACAAGCCAGCTTCATTCTGGAATAAGGTGCTGTGGACTGATGAAACTAAAACTGAGTTATTTGGGCATAACAAAGGCCGTTATGCATGGAGGAAAAAGAGCACAGCATTCCCAGAAAAACACCTGCTGCCTACAGTAACATATGGTGGTGGTTCCATCATGCTGTGAGGCTGTGTGGCCAGTGCAGGGACTGGGAATCTTGTCAAAGTTGAGGGACACATGGATTCCACTCACTATCAGCAGATTCTGAAGACCAATGTCCAGGAATCAGTGACAAAGCTGAAGCTGCGCCGGGGCTGGATCTTTCAACGAGACAACGAAACACTGCTCAAAATCCACTAAGGCATTCATGCAGAGGAACAAGTACAACGTTCTGGAATGGCCATCTCAGTCCAGACCTGAATATTATTGAAAATCTGTGGTGTGAGTTATAGAGAGCTGTCCATGCTCGGAAGCCATCAAACCTGAATGAACTAGAGATGTTTTGTAAAGAGGAATGGTCCAAAATACCTTCAACCACAATCCAGACTCTGATTGTTGGACAACATCTTCCACCCCATGCATGAGACTCTGACAGCACTGAGCAGCTCCTTCACTGGCTGCAGCACCCACGATGTGGAACGGAGAGATTTCACAGGTCTTTCCTCCCCACTGCTGTCAGACTCCACAACAAAGACTTCAACTGATTAAACACATCCACACATGTGCAATAGCAATAACACTAAGTGCAATACTCTTTCTGGCATCGTTGTATTATACTCATATTGTATATAGCATTTGTATTCTATTTTATTCGATTGTATATAGTATTTTATTTTAATTTATTTTCTTCTATTCTATTGTGTACAGTATCTTATGAATATATTATTCCAGTGTTTTTTTCTTCTAATTTTTCTATGCAACTTTGCACTGTCCACTGCTGTAACAAAACAAATTTCCCACGCGTGGGACTAATAAAGGTTATCTTATCTTATGTTATTGGAACCTGCAGGAAGCGTTTAGAGGCTGTAATTTCTGCAAAAGGTGGATCTACTAAATATTGATTTCATTTCTTTTTTTGTGGTGCCCAAATTTATGCACCTGCCTGGTTTTGTTTAAACAATTATTGCACACTTTCTGTAAATCCAATAAACTTCATTTCACTTCTCAAATATCACTGTGTGTGTCTCCTATATGATATGTTTAACTGACATTTTTATTGTAACAACCAACGATTTATACAGGAAAATAATGACTATTAACAAGGTTGCCCAAACTTTTGCATCCCACTGTATACTGTGAATAGATTTGGTCCTAGTAAAGAACCTTGTGGAACTCCATAGTTAACCATGTGGTATACATACAAATGTGTACACATTAATAATGATTTGCTTTTTTATAAAGCACTGTTCAAAATTAGCTGTGGAATCAAATGGTTCAAAAGGAGCATCATCTAAAACTAAAACTGGACAGAATAATGACAAAACATGTTGCATTTTCAGACGCGTATAATGGCAATGAGGATGATCAAGGAGAATTCGAGGGTCAGCGCTACAAAGTGGTAATAAACATAAAAGTGATAAAGATGTGATTCTACATCTGTTTTATGAAATAATCCACATTCAGGCGTAACGTGATGTGTTTTCAGATGAGGAAGAACAAACGTCTGCTGTCTGTTCATCCTATGGACTTTGACAATGAGGATTATCTGCCTCACTCACGGCGTCCGTCTGTACAGGTAAGTCAAAGTTATGAAAAGCAAACATACAAAAGAGATCTAAAACCATGTGTGTAACTTTGGATTCACAGCAGCAGCAGGATGATCGGTACTATAGGAATGACGTGGACTACGACCATTACAGCCACAGAGGAAACCGCAGGAAGAGCCTGGACCGATATGCCATGAGACCTGGTCAGTATACCAGCATACCAGTCTTCCAGCAACATGGTGCAGGTCCCAAAATACACAACCAATTTCACATGTCCAACAAAATAAACTGTTTAAACCACTGTGGTCTATATGGGGGTTACTGGGGCCCACAGAATCTGTCCACCATGATTTACCTTCCCACAGAAAACTTCTGGGAGTAACCCTATGGAAATGCGGGAATTAATGGAAATGCTGTTTGTCCTGTAGCTGTTTTCCCTGGGGCTCCACCTGCTGTCTGTTGGAGGAATCACAGCTTTTGTTTCACAGATTTATCACATCAAACAGATGCCTTCAAAACAAGCCTGTGAGACTGGATAACTAATTGCAAATTTTACTTATTATCAGGTTTAGAAAAAATTTCTACTTTGGATGTCCGACATGCTGCTTTTTATTTCCAACATGTACATTTACCTGAATGTTTTTACCTACCTGTCCATCTTTGTAGATCTGCATCCACCTGGGTATTTTTGTGTTTCCATGTTTACCTGTGTTTGTTATCAGATGACAACGGAGAGAATCGGATGGTCCGGACTCGCTCTCTGTCCAAGATTACCTCGTCGGTGGCTCGGCAGCAGTACGTTGACACATCAGACGAGGAGGAGTACCAGAGGTACCCGCAGATGTACCAACAACCACCCCACCGCCGAAGGGGCAGTAGAACCTCCTCCCAGGAGAACCTGGGACAAGCCCCGCCAGTAAGGACAATCAACCAGTCACTGGAAGTTAAATTTTGGTGGCATAAACATTGGATTTTCTTCTCTTGATTCTTGGAAAACCTGTTTTAATTCTATGTTTTGCCTTTTTTTCTTCTTCATGGTATTTTGTACAAAAAGTTTCAGTCCGTATAATCTCAGCCATAAAGAACCAGGAGATATTGTTAACTGACACGGAGTCTTTTTGTCATACAAAATCATCTCCTTGGTGTTCATGTTGATTTTACATTGCAGATAAATGAACTGAGCAAACGAATGTTGGCCATCGAGAGTCTGCTGAGCCGCCTGGAGGAAAAGATTACACCTGGTGTAAACGAGGTGAGATGCGATGATGATGTGGGATAATGTGAGATCATTTCCTGAAACCAGTCAGTACAAACATTCTGTAACTTTGTTTTACAGCAGGCATCAAATCCATCAGCTCAGAATGAGGAGGAGAAACTGAGAAGGAAGCTTAGTGAGCTGGCGGGGAACCTGAGCGATAAGGGCCCGTCATCGGACGACGAAGCTGGGAAGAAGTCCTTTTCTGTGGGTAAAGGTTTGGCCGGACTGAAGGGTGGCCCAGCAATCGCTCTGAACTCCCGGAAGAACAAAGAACTGAGCTCATCCAGTGATGAGATGCCCACTGAGGCTCAAAAGGTAGGAAGACTGATTCAGTCCACTGTTTACAGAATTAATTGAATTCCAACCCATAAATCCAGAGAATGGGAACCTGGAGGTTTCTCAGACCACCAGTGGATCCGATGTTATAAAAAGCTTACTTTTGGATCAGTGCACAATCATTTAATGGCGAATTCGTTTTTAACATTGTTTTCAAAGAACAAAATAAAGTCTAAAAGGTTTTTTAACTCTTTATTTTGTCCGATGTCTCATAAACATCCAGGTTCCCACGTGTGATACATTCAGTGCTTCTACAGCATGGCTTGGCTTCTCCCCAAAAACGCTGTTTTACTCCATCTATAATGGGTCTGAACACCATGTTTCTTGTTCATTCTCATGTTTTTGTCCTCATCCACTCCTGAAAATACTGAACGTTTCTCTAAACTTCTCATTGGTTTTCTTATTCCATCTGTGACAAAAAAATAATAATGAGAAATGAGGTGTGGTTCGTGTCCTAGTAAATCCACATCTACAGACTAGATGTCCAGTGACCTCCTGATGGAGGAGAACTCTTTCTGATGCATCACGGACTAGTCCTCACTAACCTGCTGCCTCCTGCATTGACTAACAGCCGTCTGTTAGGTTACTGTTACTGTGAAGCTCAGCAGCTACCTGCCTGGACCACATGACCCCTCACCTGTACAGGTGTTCACCTAAAAACTAAACCTCTGCTCAGTCATGTGACACCAAACAGAAGGAGAAATCTGTAAAAGCACTGAGTGTTGGGAAACCTCTTTGTCTGCCTCTGAATCATAGCTGGGGAATCAGCAGCATAGTTTTTAACACTGTAGTCAGGTCTGTCTGAAACACATGCCACCATTTTAGGAACAAAAGGTGTGCACCACATTTAAAAGTAGAAAGTTTTTTTTTATGTGCAGAGTCCTTTTTAATCGCAACATGACCTCCCAGAGACACAAGTCAGACACAAGAAATGCTGTGGTGCTGTGGGGCATCCAGCCCGGTAGCTGCTGCAGGATGGGATGTTGTTTTCCAGCTGCTAACATCTGTCCCTCTACATGGCTTTCAGAGATCGACTGCCGCCGCCCTCTGTGACCTCACCACTGAGGTCCTGAGAACCATTAATGCCACAGAAAACGCTATGGTCGAGTACGGCCTCTCAGAGCCGATCGACAGGTCCCACTTAGTAGGCACTGACGTAAAGCAGGCCGATGATGCGTTCAGGGAACTTGAGGAAAATGTAAGCCTCCAACATGAACTGCACACCTCATTGTCCCTGAAACCCAACCCTCTACCTCGTCCGAAGCATGACGGAAATGTCTGGACTGGCTTTAACCTTCCCGGCTGTTGTGTGTCCGTCCATCAGCGACAGGGCTGGTGTCGGTCAAACACACTGGGTCCAGTCTCAGTCCAGTTTGAGTCCAGTTACAGCAGTTCTAGATTTAGGAAAAGGTTACGTGATCATTTGAAACATGCCCCAGAACAGTTGGTAAAACCAGGTCGATGCTCATTATTGTTCAATAGCCTTAAAGCTATCAGTAAAAATGACCCGTTAGGAGAATGTGTACAATATAAGGGATTTGTTCTAGTTTCATCATCAGGTCATAATGTCATGACTGAACTCTACATCCTCTGATGAGACCAGGTCTTCTCCTGTTACCTGTTCAGTGATTGAGTCAGTCAGAGAACCAGTGTGTTTCACTGATGCTCAGGCCTGTCTTCATCATCATCACCATCATTCTCAGTGGTCTGGAGGCGTGTCAGCTGACCCAGGGGTCTGTCCTGTTACCTGTTTAGGTGTACATCACGGCCGGTCAGTCCTACGAGCTGGAGTCGAAGCTGCGGCGGCTCGAGCAGAGTGCCAAGAATCAGTTTGGAGGGGCGACGGACTCGGAACTGTCTGAGCTTGAGGACGTGGTGGCACTGACTGCCGCCAGAGTCCAGAGTGCTGAGAGCGAGGTGGGTCAATGGCTCTGGATGGACATGGTCATGTTTACGCGGTGTCTAGGAACAAAATGGCTGATGCTGGAATAAACACAAATTTCTTACTTACAGGAAGCTTTTCAAGTCTTCCTGTTTTTAATAAGCAAACTCAACAGTTTCCCTTCATGTTTGTTCCATCTGCAGGTCTCTGATATTGAGAGTAAAATCGCTGCTCTGAGCGCCGCCGGATCCAAGAAGAAGGTCAGTGTGTGAGGAAATGATGTCAAGGTTACATTAACGTGTGCTCACTCACAGGAACAAATAAAAAAGTTATCGGGCTTCAGCTGTTAGACGGTCATCACTTTTCTAGTGTAACCTTTTTGAAGGGAAACTCAGAGCATAGACTGGACTGAGTTACTGAAGAGAAATAATGGCACTGGATATCGGTACCCATCCCTAATTTTAACATGGGAGTATATGAGGACTGAGTCACTGCTGGAGCCTCTAGTGGACACCAGAGGAACTGCAGGTTTTGGTTTTCAGAGGTAGACGGTTGACTGGATGCCATGTTAGCTGCATGGAAACAGTTTCTTTCTAACATAACTCAGGACTAAGTTAAAAACTTCCATGTTTCTTTGCAGGTTTCAGGAACTCAGAGAAAAAAGTCGACTCAGGATTTTCAGAGTAAGAAACACACTCACGTTGCTTTCTGCACGTTTAAAGTGAAGAAGCTGAAACATGTTACAGTCACGTTCCAGGCCATGACATTACAAAGTTGTGATGCGTGTTCGTTAACAGCGAAGAACTGTGTTAATGAGCATTTCTTGTTTCAGAAGCTAACGGCACTCAGTGGAAATCCAGCAACATGTTCTGAAGCAGAAACAGACCTTCAGCAGCTGCTGCTTGCTCCTCTTCGTCATGAAGCCTTCATCATAGAGCAACTCAAAGAGCAACTTTTATCTGTAACTGCTGCTGCTTATGTGTTAGAAACATAACACATGATTACAGCTGGTAGATTTAGACAAAATATGAGAAAACGTAAAAAAGTACGTACCAAACTAAATGAATATTCAAATGTACAGTCATTACAATATTTCTTTGAAGCTCAGAGGCAGCTGGAGAGAATTACATGGGAATGAAGTAACATGAAAATGTTTAAAAATGTATAAATCCAAAATATTTAGTTTTAACACTGACAAAGTTTCGGCTTGTCTCAGCAACGCAAAGCCCCCAGCATCCGACATCAGCATGGAGGAGAGGAAGGCACTCACATCACTTAGTGATGACAACAAAATCATCATCCTTCCGGCAGACAAGGGCAGGTGCACAGTATTGCTAAACCAGAAAGACTGTCATGAGAAAATTTTGTTACTACTCAGTGACAAAAATACTTATGAGCCCCTGAAACGAGGCCCATGAAGTGGACTGTCTGTCTGAAGCAGTTAGAACAAGGCAATGCTATGGACTTGATCTCATACCACAGGCTGTACCCAGGGTAATGAACACCAAGTCTGTATGGTTTACCGAAGATACATGAACAGGACGCACCTTTAAGACCGATTGTCTGTATGATCAACTCGGTCACCTATAACAACCCAAAGTTTCTGACTTCGATCCTCAACCCGCTGGTAGGCAGCTCTGAACACCACATCCAGAACACCTTGGAGTTTGTTGAGAAGGTGAGAGATGTCATTATGGAGGCAGATGAAACCATGGTCTCGTACGATGTTACATCTCTTTTCACTTGCATCCCAGTCACGGAAGCGTTGGAGGTAGTAAGAGATTACAGGATGACACCAACCTTAGCAACAGGACCACTCTCAGCATCAGGGATCATATTTTCCACATATTTCACATACAAGGGTCAGTGTGCCATGGGTTCCCCAGTTTCACCCGCTGTGGCCAATTTGTACATGGAAGAAGTGGAAAAGAGGGCTTTGCTATCCTACCCTGGAACACCACCAAGTCATTGGTTCAGGCATGTGGATGACACCTGGGTGAAAATCAAATTTCAGGACGTACCACAATTCATGTATCACATTAACTCGGTGGACCGACACATCAAATTCACCAGGGAGGATATGAAAAGTGGCATTTCATATCCTTCTTAGACTGTGACATTTCCATCAGTAATGGGGGACATCTAAAAGCTAAAGTGTACCGGAAACCTACGCGTAGGGATCAGTATGGCGCGATATGGCAGCCTCGCTTCTGTCAGTCTGCCCCAGGGCAGCTGTAGCTACAACTGTAGCTGCCTCCACCAGTGTGTGAATGTGAGAGTGAATGAATAGTGGTATTGTAAAGCGCTTTGGGTGCCTTGAAAAGCGCTATATAAATCCAATCCATTATCTAAGGTTTGACTCTCATCATCCACTGGAGCACAAACTGGGTGTCATCAGGATGCTACAACACAGAGCGAACACCATCCCCACAGACACAGCAGTCAGGGAAGCAGAAGAACATCACATCAAGAAGGCGCTGAGTAGATGTGGTTATCCTAGCTGGACATTTGTCAAAGCTGGGACGGCACCGAAAGAAAGCTCCAGCCGATCCAGGAGAGAAGGGCAATCAGTGCCTAAGCAAAAACCTGTAGTGATCCCGTACGTGTCAGGAGTATCAGAACAACTGAGACACATTTTTTCTAAACACCGGGTCTCTGTGGCTTTTAAACCCCAAAACATGCTGCACCAAAAATTGGTCCACCCCAACGATCGGTCCCCCAACTCAAACAGAGTAACATAGTGTACGCTGTTAAGTGCCAGGAAGATTGCCAGGACTTATACATCGTGGAAACCAGACACCCTCTGGCAAAGCGGATGGCACAACACTGAAGAGCCACCTTGTCAGGGCAAGACTCTGCAGTCTAGTCACACCTACAGGCCAGTGGACACTCTTTCAATGATGAGGATGTACAGATCCTGGACAGGGAGGAATGCTGGTTTGAGGGGCGGAGTCAAGGAGGCCATTTACGTGAAAAGGGAAAGACCATCTCTGAATTGAGGAGGGGCCTAAGGGTACGTCTGTCACCATCTTACAATGCTGTGATTGCAGCCATTCCCCAATTCTCTGTGAATGGGACTCATGGCCATTGATCAGTGGGCTTTGATCAATGCTCATGAGTATTTGCATATTAATGATCAAGGAACTGACTTCCCAGCCCATTGTTCCTTCAGTGGGCTGGTTTCAGTCATTATGCAAATGTCCTGTTTATAAGATTGAAACCTGCAGTCAGCTGAGACTAAAGACGTCACTTGGATGAAACATTTCTCCCACTGAAAAAGTCCAGATGAACAGAATCAACTTTTGGTGACTGACAGAAGACAGATATAAAAACTTTATTTCAAAATAAAATCTATTAACTTTAAAACCATTTCTAAACTTAATCTCCTCTGACGCAATTTGATTGGCTCAGACAGACAATTCACTTTTTACTTTTATGTTTAATTCTGGCACCACTGAGCTTCTATAGACTTTGGTCAGCTGTTTATTAAACTTGTGTTTGTATCACTGCTGATACGATCAATAAATTTTAAAATCAAACCCTGTTCTTATTTGATCCATGTATTGATTTTATGGATGAATGGTACTGATCATCAGAACTGATCACATTTAGAGTTTAACATATTTAGTTTCTTTGATTATTGATAACATTGATCTGCATTTGCCTTTATGATCCATAAAACATCAAATCAATTCTGCATTTTTAACTTATTTCATATATTCATGAGAAAATTACAGGATTCTTTACCATCAGTGTGTTCAGCCTTGAGATTACTGAAGCAGTCCATCCTCTGACCAGCAGGGGGCGATAATTCCTGCAAAGGAGGGTGGATTCTACATAAAGGAGAAGTGGACTATCTAATCCATAGAGGGCACTTTGTAGCTCCTTTTATACGAGCTCACAGTGTGTCCAAGTACTTAGAGTGTCTAGTTACTGGCTAATGACATCAGGCAAACCCATGAAACACTCCAAATTCACTCAGCTCCAATAAAAGTGTTAAATGTACACACATCATGAAAAAGAGCATTTACGAGCTAAGTTAGAGGCTAGCAGAAAGTTAGCTAGCTAGCTTGTAAAGATGAAGATGAACCATGTTGTGACTGAAGGACTTCTACAAACATGAAACATACAGATGTGTACAGACTGGTAGAGCTTTGGACGTAAACACAGGTGAAAAACTAACCAGCATGTGAACTTTTTTTATTTACGAACTTTACTGTTTGTTCAGCTCATGTTTGATTTCTTCACACAACAAACTGTGTGTGTTTTTATTTCCAGTCTCACAGTCTGGCAGAGGCAGAGTGTATGCATTGATGAAAGGACCTAAAATGCAGACACAAAGAACATGGAAGAAAACTTGAATATTAACAAAAAGCAGGCTGTTTAATATAAAAAAGGTGGAAAAACAAAAATCAGATACACACAGGGGAGAAACTAAATGCTAAACACGCAACGAAAAAACAAAACTTAGAATGTCGTAAAAACCTGAACACAGAAAAAAACCCGTAGACACGGAAACATGAGGAGAAACAACAGACGACATGACAATGAATGAGCAGAAACACACAGACTAAATACACACAGGGGTGATTAGGGGAAGTGGAAACACATGGGGAAACAGCTGACACAAAATAAAGCATAACTCAAAACGCTGGGTCGAAAGACCCAGGATCGTGACATCCAGTTTCGTGCCAAAAACTGTTGCCCCATTTATGAGAGCGCGCAAAGGAGGAGGAGCCACTTGCCCAGCTCCGTTTCTGTATGCTACTTGTCACTGATCTGCAGCCGTTGCAATAAAGCACTTTAATGGTAATTTAGTGACATTGTAATGTGCCGTGCGGAAGACTATTTACCCTAAACTGTGCACTGCAAAAACCTGCCGGGAACAGTTTGAAGAGGAGGTTGAATGGAGACATAAGGATGGGTTCCAGAGTTTGACAGACATAATAATCATTTGTTATTGTCACACTATATAAGCTTTATGGCCCGATGAGGGTCATCCTTTGTGTGAAGACAGATGTTTGATTTAACACAGAGGTCCACCGCTGTAACTTGTCATTTCAGCTGCTGAAGCAAATTAAATCTTTTTAAATTAAAGATATTTCTCCTGAATTCTTTCTGAAAAATCTAAACATGTCAGTAGATGAGTTAGTGAAAAGATAACTCATTTTCTTGCAACTAAAATCAATTCTGAAGTAGGATTTGTCCAACTCAGACAACTCAACTCAACTCAAACCATGGCAGTTTGTCCTGAAACAACTGTAATCTCCACTCTTATTCTGAAAATGATCAATAATATTTGTTTTCTTAATGGTAGCACTGGTTTAGCTCACTGAGATGAGCAGAGCGGGTGGTGAGGGTTCGACTGTAAATATAAAGACCCGAAGCACAGCGAGTCTCCGACCATGTGTTTAGTCTGAGTTACAGCTCTGTAAATGTATTCCTATCGCTGCTCAGATACTGTGTCCACACTGACATTTGATTATTAAATGTCAGCTCCCTCCAAAATAAGAGCTTTCAAAAACAGTCACATCAACTGATTTTATTTTGAAAGTCAGAGTTTGTTGAAGCTGATGAAACTAGATTTAAAAACACTTCATGTCATCTGTGTTCATTCAACTGACATCATGCAGTTCATCTTCTCACCAGCAGAGGGCCACAAATCACCATCCATGAAAAGTTCAAGGACATGTAAGTGACATCAGAGCTGTACATATTGATCTGATCAATATGGAAGTTCATGTTTCTTTGATTGGATCAGTTTTTAAAAGCAGCTGTTTTTATAGAATGGTGGAAACATGAGATATTCTGAATGCCTTTAATATTTGATACACTGAGCACTACTGGATGTCCACTTATTCACCCATGATGGAAAAATCCCATTAAGAAAGAGAAACCAGACATTTGGATTCATTTTAATGAGCTCAGGCTTGTTGGAAATGCAGAGCAGCTGTGCCTGACTGAACAAGGACCATCATGACAACAGTCCAAATTCCAGGACTGATCATTGTCTCCGCACAAACAGTCTTCACTGTCTCCTTTCTTCTGTAATTCACTGATATATAAACGTCTTCTTTCCACTCGACCTCACAGTAACAGCGACCAGTCAGACCATTTCTACACAGCAGCTGAAGAAAAACTTCAAATCTGATCAGGATATGACTGAATCTCCTCCACACTTGTCACATTCCTGTTGTTGTCAGACAGTTGGAGGTTTGTGTTCACTGTGTTTGTGTCGATTGTGAGTTGACAGGAATCTGATGGAGAGAACAAACACAATCCAGCTGCAGTTATTGATCCATCATCTGTTCATTGATTGACACTTTGATGATGACTCCTGATATCAGAGATGTGACAGTTTGAAGATGGTTGAATGTGTGCTGCTTTGTTTTCATGAATCACATTAAAAACACACTTACACTTCCTCACAAGACCATAGGTCAAATATTATCTTCAAGTGTATTAATGGAAGTTTGTGCCACTTGCTGTATGAACACATGTTGATCAATACTGTTTGAAAATGTAGTAATTAGGATCAGTAAGTAACCTTAAGTAACCTCATCATGGACTACAGGAGGAATGCTGACCCACATCCACCCATCCACATTAAGGGGACGGCTGTGGAGCGTGTGAGCAGCTTCAAGTTCCTGGGAGTCCACATCTCCGAGGATCTCACCTGGACGACCAACTGCTCCAAGCTGGTCAAGAAGGCTCACCAGCGCCTCTTCTTCTTGAGGACTCTGAGGAAGAACCACCTGTCCTCAGACATCCTGGTGAACTTCTATCGTTGCACCATTGAGAGCATCCTGACCAACTGTATAACAGTCTGGTACGGGAACTGCTCTGCCTCGGACCGGAAGGCGTTGCAGAGGGTCGTGAAAACTGCCCAGCGCATC